TACAAAGTCTCGCCTGTGACAGGGAAGAAGAAATATTCTTACATTAGGAACAAGGCACACAACATACAAATATACAAACACAACTAACAAACAAAAAGTTTTATAAAGCAATAATTACTTTTTTTTGAAACTGAAGTATATTTATTCTGGTCATTTTCATTTATGTGTATTGACCTGTAATCCAAAAAGTACTGCATTGCTTTTGTAAAAGGTTTTTAATTCATGGTCATAAATTGGGGAACTCATCCCAAGGGAGTGTTAGTGTATGAGAACAAACAGTTAAAGGTTTATATAAGACCATTTTCTAATTTTAAAAACACTGCTTCATGAATATGAAATATGACCTTATTTGCATATAATTTCTGAAAGCTAAGAGAAACTCAGGAAACGTAGAAACAAGGTACTTGCTCAAAAGTTGTTCCTCTACATATCAGTAAATGTCAAAACTGGTCAAATTATTGGAAATTGTTGTCATACAAATTCACAACTTCTTTTTTGCTGATGCAATTTACTTCAATTTTTTTTCTTTATTTTTGGCAGACATTTCTAGCTTTGAATAGCTGAATGTTTAATATTGAAATAAAACTTGCTGACATTGGGGTTAAATTATTTAATTATACTGAGAAAATTTTGGCTACATCTAACTTGACATGTAGTTTTACCAATAGTGCAGCTTGTGTAACATAGAATTTTAATATCACAAATATTTAGTATTACAATCTGAGTCTCTTTTTTAAGGCTTCTATATCTAAATTTCCTCCTTTAAAAAATAAACTAATAGTGAATAATTAGGATGATGTTTACAAAAATTAGTATAGTCACAGAATGTATATGCTGATATAATGTTACTGCTAATTTTTCAGATTCAGCTCAAATTTGGTGATTTGTACATCCCATTAAAGCACCTTCAAAGCTGGGAGTTGTGGTGCATGCTTGTAATTCCAGCACTTGGGAGGATGAGGTAGGAGGATTGGCATGTGTTCCAGGTTACTCTGGATTACTACCCTGGGCTACATAGCAAGTTCAAGGACACCTTGAGTTGCCTAGTGAGACCCTGTCTCAAAAAAACAAAAAAAGCCAAAAGACCCACCTTCAAAGAGTAAACTCATATATTCAATGTGCAAAACATAGCATTAATTACAATAGTACCTATAACTGCTTTGATTACTAATTTCTCTACTCTTTCAAGACATGACTAGACAGGCACACTGACATGACAACTGTTGTCTGCGTCGGCACTGTAATACAATATAGGAAATCTCAAAACAGTTTGAAAATTAGTCAAAGAACTAAAAGGGGTTTACCGAGCACTAACATACACACATTACCTAATTGTAAAAGAATCTGGGAACTATGTATTCCACTCATGCTGAGGTGCAGAGCCATAATTGGAAACATAGAAGGTAAACAGAAGGAAAAAGCAGCCAGATGTGGTGGCATGTTTCTCTAATCCCAGCACTTTGGGAGGCTGAGGCAGGAGCACCGCAAGTTGGAGGCCATCCAGGGCAACTTAACAAGACAACCTCTCAAAAAATAAATAAGTAAATAAAAAGGGAAGGGATGGAGTTACAGGCTGGGGTGAAGGCCGTGGGTTTACTCTCCTTTCCTGTGGGAGAAAAGAGAACGAGAAGAGCAACACCTGAAAATCTTCCTTTTTCTCACAGCATCTGCAGGGGATGGGGTTACATTACTCACAGTTTGGGAAGGTGAGCAAGACAAGTAACTGGGGAGTCTCTCTTTTCAAAAGTTTCATAATGCACTTTTGAAATTGGGTTTAGATTATTGAGGGCAAAGCCTATTTAACATACTTGGTTGCTGCTTAGGATTTTAATGTATCATCTAGAGTCTTTAGGAATACATTCCACATATTTTCCATGACCAGAGTAGCTTTTTAATGTCTTCACCATTACCCTGAAATAAATTTCCTTAATTTTGTCTGACCCCTTATCAATATGAGTCCTTTGAAGACTGCTGTCAGTTGTTGTGATTTACTGATGTTGACAATTTAACATGCTTACGTCGGTTGGTATCCTGAGCCACACCTCCTGCCTTATTTTTCCTTTCTTTTTTTTTTTTTTTTTTTGGTTTTTCTCCCGTACCGGGAACCGAACTCAGGACCTTGCGCTTGCCAGGCAGGCGCTTTTGCCGCTGAGCTAAATCCCCAGCCCCTCCTTTCTTTTTTAAAAGACACATTAGGGCCACAAATGTAGACAAGTCAGACTACATCTCTTCGGCATCCCAGGCAACGTGGGCAGCCATCTCCTGTCTCAGGGTGGGCTCCGCCGAAAGTTGCTGATGCATCGCCTTTGTTATTCCAGGCTCCTTCCCTTTCACGTCGAGTTCTGTGAAGGAAGGAAAAATGAGGAGACTGAGAGGGCGGACTCCCGCCTTCCACTCTCACACAGGAGAGAACACCAGTGTCTACTGTTGCAGCGATACTCAGCTCTCATACTTCCAACTCTGAGCACATTGCTGTGAGACAAATGTCACATTTAAATTTTGTTTATTCTTTGGATGGGCAGATTTTAGTACCATATGCTTTTGTTTTAATTTCTCCTTCACTATGGCATATGAGGAGGAGCTCTTTTAATATGCAAAACTGAAATCTCATCTTTTTTTCTATTCAAAAATAAAATCATATTACTGATGTCAGCATAGATAAAGATCATTTACTTTTTCTTCAACTCTCCTGATTGATTTCATTCTTAAAATACTGTGTAAACTTCCCACCTACCATGTATGAAGTGAATAGAAGTCTGCTCTTCTAGGACCACTTGTAGGTGGGGCTGCAGTGGAGTGGTGCTGTGTTCCATTAGGTGCATTTTTTTGTTTTTTGTTTGCTTTCTCTTTTTGACTGCTCTTAGTGCATGATTACAGCACACACTGGTTGCTTTTGCTGCCGCAAATGGGTACGTGTACACAGCACATTTTAATTATTTCTCCTCCCTCCAACCCCTTCTTATTTTTCCGGCATCCAGTTCTTTTAAAATCAGGCATCTGAACTTGGAGAAGCCTAGGAAATGACACTGGACAAATATCTTTGACAAATTCTGAATTTATTTCCATGTTGTATGTACATAGAGACACAAACACACATTTACTTATGAATATTTTCAAGGGCCCACAACAGTTGAGGGTACAGTTTAATTACCTTAAACATTTTAAATCATACTAAAGCCTGCTGATGTATTTTATTTTAGAAAAAAATACACAATTTGATTATTTTTTTAAAGAAAACAGGCTTTTGAAACATTTGGAATGCATTTGGAAATTAAATAATTATTTTAAAAGAATTTTATTCAAAGCAGAATATTAGTAAGTCCCTAACATGCATAATAAATTTCCCTTTAAAATGAACATAAAAGCAACTAGGAATATTTTCAAATTAACACAATACATTTTACAGTGGAAAGATTAAGTGTATTTACATACTTGGAACATGACAAAATGAAATATTTCCAATGTATGGTGGAAATTCTGAAGACTCGGATTATGAATTTTGGGGAATGTTTTAAAAATATTTTTCCAAATTTAAGGTAAAAATAGACATTATTATAACTTAACACTGACTATTTAATTTTGAGTATTTATTAGGAAAAATTTATTTTAGAGGCTAACAACATGGAAATGGCAGCATAAGAATGGAATGTTATTGATGTAATATTATTTCACTTGTCATTAATAGGCATTAATCACTAAGATACCAAGAAAAAGAAAATACAAACACCTATAAAATATGGTGTAGAACATACTGCTCATCACAAGACTAGTCCCTGTGGTTCTCGGATGTACGTCACGACACAGCTCTTCTGTACTTACTACAGATTGGTAGCAGGAACTATCTGGGACAGTAACTTAGCAGCTAAAAAATAAAAGATTCTTGATGCACTCAAACACAATTTTGAGGAGATGAAAAAACTTTGTGTAGAAAGAAATTCCCTAAGTTCCATGTCATTTATTAAAAAAAACTAATAATAGTAGAAAATTACTTCTTATAATAAAGGAGCTTAATGAAGTTTTTCATGTTTTTTCAATGCTTTCTACATCCTTTTTCTTTTAATCTAAAGAAGGGAATAGGAAATTGAACCTTTGATTGTTGGATTAAAAATCAACAGTAGAAACTCGGTTCTCATCCTGATTCCTGGAGTAGGCACATTAAGGAATGTGCTTTGAGAAAGGCAGGCCTTCTGGTGTGTGCTTCCTGCATTGGGTTTCTTGAGAAGGACCCGAGGGTGCTTTTTGCTGCTCTGTTCCTCCTTCCACTGCTTCTTCCCTGCTGTAGCTAGAGGACGGGGGAAGCCCGTTCTCTGCTTATCTGGGCCAGTAAGCCAAGTGGCTTCTGTGATCCAGCGGTAAAGGCTGGACTGTGAAAGGGAAGGTTTGTGACTGCTGCAAATCTCGAAGAGAGATCAGTCACTAAAGTGCACTGAACGGGGCTCTGAGGAAGCTTTGAGCCGACACTTCGAGCACGCTCCGCCCTCACACGAGGCCCGGGCTTCCCGCGAGTCCCAGAGAAGCAAAGTTTATGATAACTAAATTTTTACATATGGACATTTGGACAAAATGAAATAGGGTCCTGTATGCTGTAAAAAAGCCATGGGGACCCTCCAGATAGTAAATCTAAGTAAGAAAAAGCATATTCTAGCACTTAATAGACTAATATTATCTTTAATAAACATGTTTCTTAGATATCAGCACTTATAGAAACATCAATATCAACAATCCTCTTTTTGTGTTGTCACATTTCTCCTCTTTTTCAGACAATTCTGAGAGGGTTCAGCAGCAATTCTTGGTACTGGACATATTCAAAATCTCTTCAACCTTTACCCCTCTGGCTTTTCGCCTTCCAGCTTTAACCCATTTGTGATCCTTTCAAATATTTTACATGATTTGCAATGGTTACATGAACTTTTGGGAAGTCATATTTGCACCATCTCATACTTCATTCACGATGGCACTTTAGGAAAAGAAGTTGAAAAAAACTTCCAAAGCATCGCTTTAAAAAATGAATCTGATTGTGAAGCTTCGGAGAAGTTTCCGAACACTGATTGTTCTCTTAGCGACCTTTTGTCTGGTGAGCATTGTGATTTCTGCCTATTTTCTCTACTCCGGCTACAAACAGGAAATGACACTTATTGAAACCACTGCAGAAGCAGAATGTGCTGACATCAAAATTCTACCTTATCGGTCAATGGAGCTGAAAACAGTTAAGTCTCTTGATGCATCTAAAACTGATGCTACCGTCCTCCTCTTTGTGGAGAGCCAGTATTCCCAACTCGGTCAAGATATCATAGCTATCTTGGAGTCCAGTCGGTTTCAGTACCACATGGTCATTGCCCCCGGCAAGGGGGACATACCTCCTCTCACGGATAATGGCCAGGGGAAGTACACCTTAGTCATTTACGAAAATATCCTGAAGTATGTCAGCATGGACTCGTGGAATCGAGAGCTTTTAGAAAAATACTGTGTGGAATACAGTGTTAGTATAATCGGTTTTCATAAAGCCAACGAGAACACCTTACCAAGTACACAACTAAAAGGATTTCCATTAAACCTCTTCAATAATCTAGCTCTAAAGGACTGTTTCGTCAACCCTCAGTCTCCTTTACTGCATATTACCAAAGCCCCCAAGGTTGAGAAAGGCCCTCTTCCTGGGGCAGACTGGACTATATTCCAGTATAACCATTCAACCTACCAGCCTGTGCTTTTAACTGAGCTACAGACAGAAAATTCCCTTTCATTCCTGTCCAGTAAAATACTTTATGCAACAGTGATTCAGGATCTGGGCCTTCATGATGGAATTCAGCGAGTTCTCTTTGGCAACAACTTGAACTTCTGGCTGCACAAGCTCATCTTCGTAGATGCCATTTCCTTCTTGTCAAGGAAGAGACTGACACTGTCCTTGGACCGGTACATCCTCGTGGACATCGACGACATATTTGTGGGGAAGGAGGGAACCAGGATGAATGTCAAAGATGTGAAGGTAAGAGCATTTGTGCTGAAATTTTATGGTAAAATCGGTTTGAGAGAAACCAAACACTTTTTTAAAAAATTAAAACCATTACACACACATGCAGACACACACACACACACACACACATAAACACAGGCATGGACAGGTGGATACAAACAAGAATCCAATCTTTAGAAGGGACTGAACTAAAATATCCCCAAAATACTTATTCTCCTTGAATCTTATTAAGCCTTGCTCATCTTAGTGACATAAACTTAGAATATCCTTTATTATTTTAACATCTGTTGCCGTTTATAGCGAGACTTATAGTTACAGAGCTCTATTTTTCTTTTTTGTTGTTGTTATTATTGTTTTTGCAGTTGTTGATTCTTTGAAATATTTTCCATGCAGTTTGGTTTTTTGTTCATGAATTTTCTGCCTACCCCTATGTCTTTAAGATTTCTACCTACTTTTTCTTCCATTAGATTTAGTGTTCCTGTTTTAATATTTAGATCTTTGATCCATTTTGACTTTAGTTTAGCACATGGTGATAGACATTGTTCTAGTTTTTATTCTTCAGCATGTGGAAAGCCAGTTTTTCTAGCATCCTTATTAAAGAGGCTATCTTTCGTCTAGTGAACATGTTTAACCCTTTGTCAAAGATAAGGTGGCTGAGTGTGTTTGTAGATGTGTGTGCATCTTCTAACCTGTTCCACTAATCTTCAAGTCTTTTTCTTGCCAGTACTGTGTTGATTTTGTCACAGAAGCTTTGTAGTATAATTTCAAATCAAGGATTGTGATACTTCGTGTCTTGTTCTTGTTGCCCAGGATTGCCTTTGCTATTCTAGATCTCTTCAGGTTCCAGATGAATATTAGGAAGGTTTTTTTCCAGATCTGTGAGGATCTGATTAAAAAGCTTTTGCAGATCAAAAGAAATCACCAGCAGAGGGAAAGAAAACCCACAAAATGGGGAAAAATTTTATGCAGAGATCTAATTTTGAAGTGATCACTCTGCTCAAGCTGGGTTTACACACGATGGTTGAAATACAAAGTTGAGAAGTAGTCGAAGACCTTTGTGGAACTTCAAACAAACGAATCATTTGCTTTATGAGATCTTTATGTACGAGTGGATATAGAAACCAATAAATACAGTTTTAGAGAAACATGGCCTAAAAGACTATCTTTGTTATCTCTGTTAACTCATTTTATCAGTTTGAGCAACCCAACCGTGGTACTGCCTACCCTTCTAGCTGTATAATGCCGATTGACTGCAAAACAGATTCAGCTTGCGATTGCTCTTTCATAAAGAAAAAGCCAAATATGAAGCTGTGTGGGATGAGATTCCTAAATAGTCTTTGCTATTTGGTAGACTATGGCAAAAGGATCTCTTAAAACATCAAATTTGAGACCAACTCTGGTCAACATAGAGCCTGCCTTAAAACGCATACACAAACATACACACACATCAAAAGGCAACATACATATACTAGATTAGAAAGAAAATCCTGAGGCTAATTTTCACTCTAAACCTCACTTCAACATTCTCATATGGTCTTCCAATTATGCCTATCTTTTCCTACATACAATTAAAATCATTCTGTGCATAAAGAATTTTAGTGAACAGAAACAAAAATAATAGGATACAAATTGGGATTATAAAAGAATCAAGATTTCTATGATCTGGTTATCTTTGTTTTATCTTCTGGTATTAAAGTGTTTATCTTCCAAAAATGAAACCTAGATGCTACTTCAACATAACAGCTTTTTGTCTCCACCCTAAAACTGTATGACCATTCTAAGACAATTTGATTAAAACCAGTGAGATAGATTCTTTGTAAAAATTCTGTATAGCGCGTGCAGACCAGTGAACTGTTTCTAATGAGCCAGTGAACAAAAGCACTGCCTCACTGTGACCCAAGTGCTCCGTTTCAGGAGGCTACAAACGGAGGCGTGAACACAGGTAAATTCTGTCTAGTTGGTATGTTTATTTCTCTCACTTTTGTATTTGGCATTCCTTAAAAGTAATATAAATGATAGTTTTATTTTCAGTGTAAAGTCATAAATTTGAAAAAAAGTCGTATGCTTCAAGAAGTTTCTAGAGTGCTTATTTCCCGGTCAAAACAACTTAAAATGACAGGATTTTCTTATTTTAGCCTCAGGAACAATATGAATTAAAAGATTTTTCTAACTCCACATGAAGTTGACCAGATCAAATTTAACTTTGGCATTTTTTCTTAGTAGAAAAACAAATACCCACTCTTAAGTACCAATAAAATATTCAGAGATCACTGACAATTTCTAGTCTTGCATAACCTTGAACAAAATAATAGAATAAATTTTTTAATGAAGGCTTCAGCAATGTCACATGTGTAGAGATCATTGAATAGCTAGATAGATATGTAGACATGTAGGCATACTTATATACAGACGTATAGTTTTATACACATGCATATAGATATAGATAGTATCACGGTGCTTATGTACGTGAACACATGCACACATGCCAGTGCTGAAGCTATGGCGTGTGTGCCACAGTAGGTTTGTGTATCACTGAACACTCTCAGTGGCTGGCCATCACTGTTATGTACTACATTAAGTAGTGTACAACGCTTACTAGTGTGCATACACATAGATTACTGTAACTGTCACTTTGAAGAAAGTGCTCTTCACAGTCTTCTCATTGTTTGTAGATCTCCCACAGAACTGCTCTCAAAATGATCTTTTTCAACTTTTTTGTGAGAACTCTTCAAATTCACTCTACTCTTAATGTTCAAGAATGCTATGCATTTCTATGAACTACAGTCATGATGTAAAACAGTGGATATCTTGAACTCATTCTTCCTATCTAAGTAAGATTTTACATATTTTGGTGGATATAGCCCTACTTCTAGACTGTCTATCCCTGGTTTAAACCAGGAATTGATTCTACTCTCTGCTCTTATGTATTAAAAACTTGGGGATGTTTCATAAAGGTGAGATGGTACAGTATTTATGTTTCTATTCCCAGCTTATTTCAATTAAAATAATGTGTTCTAGGTTTAGGTTTATTCTTGCTGTGGAGAATGACAAGATTTTCTTCTTTTTAAGATAAATGGAATTCCTCTGTGTGGGGGGGTGCCTTTTTCTTCATTCATCTATTTTTTTTTTTTTTTTTTGGTCTTTTTTGAGACAGGGTCTCTCTATGCATTTCAGGCTGGCCTTGAGCTCACTTTGTAGCCCAGGCTGGCCTTGAACTCACAACAATCCTCCTGCCTCAGCCTCCCGAGTGCTGAGATTACAGGCATGCGCCACCACATCCGACTTCATTCATCTATTGATGGACACTTATTTTTATGCCATTTCTTGGATACTGTAAATATTGCTGAAACAAAAAAGAACAGGAATAACTCCACTCAACACATTTATTTCATTTCATAGATGCAATGTCATATACATATATATATACATATAAACATATTCAAGGTGAAATTTGTAGATTATCCAGTAATTTTAGTGTTTATTTTCTGAAGAATTTTCAGATTATTTTCTTAATAACTGTCTAATTTACCTTCCTACCAACAGTGTACAAGGGCTCCCTTTTCTCATCTCCTCAGTAGTTTGCGATCTTGCACTTAAAAGTATATATTCATTCTAACAAGTGATAGATTTCTTATTATAATTTTGATGTTTTTTTTCTAACAATTATCATATCCCTTGCCAAATTATTTCAGCTATTACTTTTATCTTTTAGGCTTCATACTAAAGATGTAAGCAACTTACATTCCACACTGAGTAGTAAATGGCTCTGAATTTGCCTCTGTGCCTCCTTCCACCCAGTTTTACACTTTCATGTGTTTTCATGTCTATTTTAACATTCTTTCTTCAGTTAGAACAACTCTCTTTAATAATTCTTTTAATATAGATTTGAAAAACTATTTAAAAGTATAGATCTAATGGTGACGAAATCTCCAGGTTTTTACTTACCTGATTAATTCGTTATCCTCTTTGATTTGGGGACCAGCTTTGCAGACTCTAGCATTCTTGTTTGGCAGTTCTTTGTTCCCTTCAGCACTTAATAAACATTGTTTTTCTCTCCCCCGACCCATAAATTGCTGCTAGAAAGTCTACTGGTAGCCTTATTGGAGCATAATTGTGTGTGATATGTTCTTTGAGTGATTTCAGGAGTATCACTTGTTTTTTGAATATTTGATTTTTTGTTATAATATGCCCTGATATTGACTTGTTTGGATTGAATCCTGTTGGTTACTATCAATCTTCCTTTATCAGGATATGTATGTATTTTCTAGATTTGCAAAACTTTTTCTATTTTTTCTTTAAATAATTCTCTGACCCTTTTTCTCCTTTCCTGAGAGTTCTATAAGACAGTCTTTGTCTTATAATAGTTTGGCTTATGAGATGCTTATTATACGGTGATCCAAGAGCACACCCATACAATCATTACTTTAACTTTCAGTGCAGTATTCAATAATTCATATGAGAGTCCAACACTTTATTATTATAAAAAGGTTTTATATTAAGTGACATTAACTATAAGCTAATGTAAATATTCTGGGAGTGTTTAAGTTCGGTTGGTTTAGCTATGATGCTTGGTAGGTTAGATATATTAAGTGCATTTTGTCCCATAATATTTCCATCCTACAATGGGTTATTGGAATAGAACCTGATTGTAACTTAAGGAACATCTGTAACTCAAATATTTCTCTCAGAAGTATTAACTAATTTGGTTGAAATTGAAACTTATTTACCTCTTGGATTACTTACAAGTCAATAGAAGATAATGTTTTGTGAAAATAAAAATTCTAGCCATCACCTTTTACATTGAAGTTTTTGTTGTATTTTTGGATCAATATTATTTTGTTAAGAAGAATTTTAATTTGTAGAAAGGTTCAGTAGAATCCCATGTTCTTTGTAGGACTTCAAGTCGCACACTACCAGAAGAGGTTAAACCCATCCTCCTCCAAACTCTACACTAATTTTTAAAAGTAAAAGGGTGAGATATCTATAGATATTTTTCTGTTATTCTGAAATAG